TTATTTTTCAGCACCTAGGTGTTTAACAACCAGTTAAAATACACCAAATGCAGGAAATCACATCAACTTTATTAAAACATTTCTGGGAGAGGACCTCCAGACCCCGGCCGGCCTGCCTGCTGGTTGCGTTCCAGCATCGATTGGTTTACAAATGAAAGCCTGTTACTTGGTCTGAGTCCTGCTGTTCTGATTCTGTTCAGTTTTATGTAAAGAGTTTTCTGTAATAGTTTGAAGAAGTGGCAATACATTTATTATGCTCGTTACGTGAATAGGTAAAGTGTTAAAGTGGTTGTTGATGCTGTTCATTTTCTCAAAACTGTAATGTTTGGAAGTTGAATTTAAAAATGTTGTTAATTAAGTGCTTTGAATGAAAAACAACCCATGTTTATAAGTATAAAAATTGTATTAACACTATTAAAGAACAGGTCTTACTGTAAGTATTTATGTTGCATTCATATTTTCACAGCATTAAAGAGACAAATTGAAGAAAATTAATTAATAAACATGAGGGTTATGAGGGGGCCCCTGAAACTTGTTCTCCCCTCTAAGGGGTCCTTGACCCAAAACGTTTGAGAACCCCTGGTTTAAGCCTCGAGTAGACTCCTGCAGCTTGGAGCATCCTTTCGGCCTTATGCTGCTCACTTCCTAATTGTTTCATTGCAGGGCTTACTTTAACACTTCAACAGGATTTGACCTCTGGGTGATGCTCATTCTAATAACTTTCCTGTCTGAAGGCTAAAGGATTTCCTGGGTGTTTTTTTTTTTTGGGGGGGGGCGGGGGGGGGGTTCTGATGGAGGAAAAATTCTCATTTTTACAAGCTTATCATAAGGAAAAGGTTTGTGTGTGTGGAGACAAGTTTATTGCTTAGTTGCAACAGTTCAAGTATTATTTGTGTGTGTGTGAGAGCGCACGAGAAAGAGAGAAAGTGTGTGAGAACCGTGGTCACTGCTTCAGCGAGGCAGTGTAGCGTGCATTACAGGAGTGATCAGAGGCGGCCCGGGCCAGCACTGCTCCAGCACCCTGCTAATCCCTGCGTTTTCAGGAGCCCTGGCCCGTACTTGATGAGCTTGAGCAAGAAAAGAGTTGTTCTCTCTTTCTCTCTCTTGTTTCTCTCTTTGTCTCTCGTTTTTTCAGTCCCCCTCTTTTTTTTCTCATGCCTCCCACCCCCCAGTCTCTCTCCATCCCCTGGAGCAACTTGGCGAATGAATGGATCACAAGTGTTTACTCAGCAATTTTGTCTGTTCCTCTGTGCATCTCTGCATTTGACCGAAAAGAGAATTAGTGAGCTGCATTCATCAAATCAGACGATGAGTGTAAATTTAGCTTGGGGTCATTTGGATATTTTCAGCTGCTTTTTTAACAATGTATTTAATGTACAGTAAATCTCTAATGTTCATCTCAGCTCTAGTTGTTTGGGATTATAATTGACACTAACAACCAGTGTGGGGGTTCACGAGGATCTTAAAAATAGTGGGGTTTTTTAGATTTCAGAATAGCAGGAAAGTTAGAAACAAAGATGACGCCACTGTTTTGAAACAAAAGTTTTAAAATGAAGCAAAAAAACAAACAAACAAAAAAAAGATAAACTCGTTTCAAATAGTCTAAGTCTTGTCTCTTGTGTCCTAGAATAAAATGACACAAACTTATGCTGTAATTAATTATGCACAGTTAAAGTCTTTGTCCATAAATGACCTTTTTTGGCCACTATGGCCTCATAGTGTGGGAATTTCTCTAACTTGGTATCTAAAACATTCAGCTGAAGTTAAAACTCATATTTATTGTTTAATACAATATTCAAGTATTTGAAATGTTTAACAGAGTAAATCCTTTTTATCATGATTTTGACCTAAACATCAGTTACACATGCCAAAAAAGTTAAGCAGCAACAAAATACTTGTGCAAACTGACACCTGAACATCCATCCATCCATTATCTTTTACCCACTTCTTCCATTTTGGGTCACAGGGGTCGCCGGTGCCCATGTCCAGCAATCACTGTGCGAGGGGCGGGGTACACCCTGGACAGGTCGCAAGTCCATCATAGGGCCACATAGAGACAAACAACCATTCTCTCTCTCACTCACACCTAGGGACAATTTAGAGTTACCAATCAGCCTAACATGCATGTTTTTGGTCTGTGGGAGGAAACCGGAGTACCCGGAGAAAACCCACGCATGCACAGAGAGAACATGCAAACTCCACCCAGAATAGCATCCGGACCGGGATTTGAACCAGAGACCTGCTTGCTGAGAGGCAGCAGCTCTACCAGTTGCGCCACCGTGCTGCACACACCTGAACATATCAATGCAATTCAGTTTATTTATATAGCGCCATATCACAACAAAGTTGTTTCAGGGCACTTTACAGAAACATTCACATACATAAAAGCCAATTAGTAAAGTTCTCTGTCTAAGGAATCCAGCAGACACTTTGGATCTTCACTTCATCACAGTCTCCCATCCTGAGCAAGCACAATGGCAACAGTGGAAAGGAAAAACTCCATTTTAACAGGAAAAAACCTCCAGCAGAACCAGGCTCAGGACAAGCGGCCATCTGCTTTGACCGGCTGGACAGGAAGGAGAGACAAACGAACACAGAATGGTAGGTCCAGATGTAGGTCCAGATGTAGGTCCAGATGTAGGTCCAGGTGTACCTGAAAGACAAAAACACGTCAAGGATAGAAAAAGTAATTACAAATACAAAACAGTTTGAGCAGAGTAAGTAAAGACAGTATTGTGAAGAAGTGTGGTCAGTTTGTCTTCCAGCAGTCTATCATAACTAAGGGACAGCTCAGGAAACCCAAGCCGACCCTAACTATAGGATTTAGCAAAAGGAAAGTCTTAAGCCTAGTTTTAAAACTGGACACTGTGTCAGTCTCACAGACAGAAACTGGAAGGTTTCACAAGAGAGGAGTCTGATAACTGAAAGCTTTTCTTCCCATTCTAAGAAGCAAATAAATTATAGTAAAGGTGTCTCAGTCTAACTTTCCTGAATAAATGCATTTTAACAGTCAAATCAGCTGCATTTTCAAAAGCCGATACGCGGAAACAGGAACACGCAGAGGGCGATTCGCTGGGTATTTCTTCAAAATTTAACAAGAAAACCACCAAAAAACATTATTTGTTTGCTCGACATTATAGCAAAGGTGTGTCTCAGTTAAACTTTGACTTAATAAATGCACTTCAATGGTCAAATCAGCTGCATTTCACCGAGGCAGCGCAACAAAATCAAGCTGGTTGCTCCAGGCGAGCTGGACAAAGGTGGCAATATATGGCAAGCCAGTTGTGTCATTAATGGCCACTTTTTACCTATTACATGACACAACGGCATACCATACAACTCCAGCGCCATCTAACAGCTGAAAATGATAGTGTTCGATATTTTCTGTCAGAATGAATGAAAACGGTCACATCTCAACCAAAATTTGGTTTATAAATATGGGAAAAAACAGACATAAATACGTCTCTTCGGTGTATAAGTCGCAGATCATGCAAATTATGCAAAAAAGCCAGACTTATAGGCTGAAAAATACGGTACTCTGAAAGGTCCCATGTGACTTTATCTTGCGTTTATGATAGTAGTGTGTTGCATGCGTGTCTCTATGCATACCTTGCTAAGGGTAAACAAAGCTGTCAACAAAGAAACTAGTCATTGTGCACAACTATGGCGAATACGTGCACAGCGCACTGTCCGGTCCATTTATGGGACTGAGAAACAAGAATGGCGCTGAGGTGCAGAAAGGTGAAAGGAGGCTCTGATGGGGCAGTGGCAGGGTGGTTTGGGAGGGGATTAGCAAGAGGCAGCGGGCCCCGAGGCAGAGGGCCTCGTTTCCTGGTCTGAGCCCCTGTTTGTCCTGCCTGACCTGGCAGCTTTGGGGGCAGATCCTGCCTGGATACATCCCCACTCCCACGCCTGTCTATAGCTGTTAACCACTGGCGGTGAGTAGGCAGCTTAGTAATGTCTGAGCTGTGGCTGCGTCGTGGTGCGAGGGGGTGTCCAGTCATCGGTGGGAGGGGGGTTACTAGCTGCTGTGTGCTGGCAGAATGTCATTTAATGGGCATAGAACCATGAAAGGAGACTAAAAACACAATTCCTTAAGCTAGGCAACATGTTGATCATTTTGATGAAAAAAAATGGAGATGTTTTAAAAATATCCAAACATCTCATATTTCTATACCGTCTCTCTGCCTCTCACCAATATTGGATAGCACATGCATACTGGCAAAATACATATTTTATATTTGGCCCTTATATTGCCATTTCATTTTTGGGGGGGGGGGGTTAATGAAACTAGAATGCATTAGGGCTTTTTAAATTTATTTTTATGTATGTATTTATTTCAAAAAGTGCATTAGAAAACAACAAAGGATGAATGTAGATGTCCTGGATGGTGTGGAGACTGCTACCAGTTGCAGCTCGTTCACATTTGATAGGTCACTTTTCTTTTTTCTTTTTTTTGCTCTCTATCGCTTTATTTCTTCCCCCCCACAATTATTTTATACTGTTTGTGTCAATTGTCATTCTAACAGCTTTTAATTAAACTTTCTTTGCAGACTAGAAGAACTTAAAATTAGCTGATTTCTTTCATTTATTACAAATTCTGCTGTAGACTTTTAAGTGGATGGTTCATATTTGGTGGTTAAATTGAAAAATCACCCATTTTGACGAATGTTAATATTTGTTATTGTAAAAATCTTTCAGAAAATGTGCGATTTTTATGCCTTATGTCTGGATTTCCTGTTCATCTGTTTATTTTTTTTATCTTTAATTTGCCATACAGCGTGCAATCAGGTTGTCAAATGTCCATGCATCATTGCGAACTTTTCCATCTCAGACATTCTTATTTCTCCTTGCTGTTAAAATCAGTGGAAACTGGTCATTACTGTAACCGTCTGTTTTCCTAAAACATTTTTTTTCAATGAACCGTGGCTTTCAGGGTGCTTAAAGAGTGTTTTCTGTGCAACTACTGTGTGCACAACAGTGTTTTTACTTCCAAACCCATAAGATAACATGTCTCTTCTCCCCCAAGAGGCCTGTTTGATTATCACTTTTCAAAAGTGAAGATGAAATGTGGCGATATTTACTTTACTTCCTCAAAACCTTTGGTAGTTTAATTGCTTGCTTTTAGAGCCTTGTTATTATTTTTTCAGCGTTGGATTGGCTGTTGGGTTTGGAGGGTATACTATGATAATGTGCAGATCTCAGAGTGTTGTTTCTCTAAAGCTGCAGTGAAAGGCCAGAGGACAGCAGAGAGACAGAGGAAGGACCACTAAGGACTAATTAGTGTTTCAGATAACCTCTTTGTAAAAAGACAGTTTTGGATTAAGACAATAGTGATGTTCATTAAAAAATAATGAATCTTGCAACTCCATGTGCCCTATTTGTATAATTTTGTACTATTTGTACAATGTTGAAAGTAAAAAAAAAAAAAGTTGCAAAAGTTTTGGGAACAAAATAGATTTTTATTTATTTTTTCAAATGATGTTAAAACTAAATTAATAACTCTTTATTTTTCAATACAAACGTTTAAAGAAAATATTGTGTCTTTACTGACTCTGGTAATAAACACCCCCTGGTTACATCTTGTTTTGGGTCATTTGTGTAATTCGCAGACAAATACTTTGAATGCAACTGAGTCTAAAAGGTGACTTTTCCTGCAACTATAAACTCTAAACTGAGTGCCCCCAAGCAATTGGCACCTCAAGAAAAAAAAATAGATCCGCCACTGGTGTGTGTGACGTGCAAAAAATCAGAAGTTTATTTATTTGTGTCTATAATTTTTCGTTGTTCTTTGACAAATTCCACAGCTATTAACAATTCTCCACCAAGAAAAGTCTCTTTTATTTTTTGGGTGGGAGGGTGGGTGTGGACCCAGTTGCGTCACTCCTGCCCAGTCTTATAAAACTGTCCGCGCCTTCTCTCACCTGGACTGACGCATCCAGACAGAGGCGCAGGCCAGGGGCTCATTTTGGCCACAGCATAGTGGGGGGGTTATTGTCAGAGCTGCTTCCTCCGTTCTCCTCCACTGGTCCTAATATTACTTCTTTTATGACTCTGGCAAATTATTCCTGTTTCTCTGGCATGATGTGCAACATGAGCGCAGAGCTGTCGCCCGCAGAGGCGAGCCCTGTGGTCATGTCTCCAAACGTGAGCCTGGACTCTCCCCCGCCTCTGATGTTGCAGGCCCGGTCCAAGGACAATGTTCTGATCAAGTCTGAGCCCCGGGGGGGCAGCCCCGGCACGGAGGACGGCTGCGCTCCGGGTCAGACGGAGGAGCACCTGCCGGCGGGCAGCCGCCGGAGGAAGAGGCCGGTCCAGAGGGGCAAACCCCCCTACAGCTACATCGCGCTCATCGCCATGGCCATCGCCAACTCCCCGGAGAGGAAGCTCACCCTCGGAGGCATCTACAAGTTCATCATGGAGCGCTTCCCTTTTTACAGGGAGAACTCCAAGAAGTGGCAGAACTCCATCCGCCACAACTTGACCCTGAACGACTGCTTCGTGAAGATCCCCAGGGAGCCCGGCAGACCCGGCAAAGGCAACTACTGGACCCTGGACCCGGCAGCGGAGGATATGTTCGATAACGGGAGCTTTCTGAGGAGAAGGAAGAGGTTTAAGCGCACAGATGTGAGCACGTACCCCGGCTACATGCAGAGCTCCAGCGCCTTCACCCCCACACCGATGGGCAGGCCGCCGTACCCCAACACCCTGTACGCAGGGATCGGGTCAGGGTACGGGTCCCAGCTGACGGCGGCGTCCCCGCATCCAGCCATGATGCACCATTACCAGACCCCCTCTTCCGGGATGGGCCAAGGAGGACAGCCGCGCATGTTCAGCATCGACAACCTCATCAGTCAGCAGACAGGGGTGCAGGGCGCAGAACTGAACCCCCAGACCATGGGTTTGGGTGGTGCCGAGCTGGGTACCATGACCTCCAGCTGCTCTGTAAGCGGCACCGAGCCGTGTTTCCAGAACCAGACTGTCAACCCGAACATGCTGAGGAACAACAACCTGACCTCCGGGTACCCGTACTCCTCCTCTGCGTCGGCCTCCCCAAACCTGCCCTCCTCCGTGAGCCAGGCCGGGTTTTCCCCGGGGGGCTCTCAGGTGTACTGTCCAGGAAACCGGCTGTCCCTGCAGGGCCTGCGCCACAGCTCGTGCCCGGAGCACCCAGAGCAGCTGCTGGGCCTGTCCCCCCCCATGAACTCCTACAACAGCAGCTACATGAGACAAGGCAGCTTTGGCTCCGGCCTGGAGAGGTACATGTGAGACACTCTGCCCAACATGCTCCGAGTTATATTTTATTCTACAGTCAAAGTGATGCATGAGTGCTTCACCTCAGAATAAAACATTTTTCAACTTCAAGCCATTGAGACGCTTTTAACACATTCCAGCGGTGTCTCCAGATGTGCGGCGTTTCTCTTTTACGACTTGTTCTTCTGTTTACATGTTCGTTCAGTTCTGATCATTTTGTATAACCTACAATTAGATGTTTTTGACTTAAAGATTTTATTTTTTAAAAAGGGTGATATCATTGCTGACAATAAAGCGCTGAAAATAAAGTTGTTTTTTAAAATAAAATTGAAATGTTCTTTATTTTTTGTCGTGTTTGAAGTCAAATGGTAAAATTTAAACCCAGTAAAGTTTAATTAGCTTCTCATTTATGAACAAATAATTCAAATCAAGGAAATATTTCAAACTAAAGGCACCAAAGTTACATTTTTATTAACAAACCCCCCCCACCCCCCCACCCCCCCACCCACACACACACACACACACGCACACAAAACGATGTTTAAGCAGCTCTGGTGTTTAATTTGAGTTGAGAAAATATTCAAATACATTTTTTTAACTTTTAAAAAGTGAATTATTTTCTAACATCAAAATGTCTCCACTGATAAGATGAAATCAGGAACTAATCAATAATAAATCTTTACAATAAAATCAGTACAAACTTCTATCGATCCATTCATTGAACCATCAGAGGGATAAAAAAAAGGGGGGGGGGGGTATTTTATTAAAGCTGGATGAAAATAAATAAGCATGCCATAAATTAAAAATGAATGAATTGCGTTGTTTGATAACCTGCAAGGACACGAATCTGAACTCAGTCTTTAGTTCATCAACCTTCAGCTGTCTGACATGTATCGATACTTTTTGTGACTTGTCAAATGTTACTGAATATCAACAGCAGTTTGCAGTTTGTGTACAAAAATTAACTTTTATTTACTTACAAATACTTTTTCTTCCTTCATTAATTTTGTAAACTGAAAATAAGAAAAAAAAATGTTTTCATTAGACTAATATTTATCTTGAAACAATTTATAATGTAGCCCATGGGCAACAGTTACAAACCTGGAGAATAACAACGAAATGCTTATAATAGAAAAACAATAACAAAAATAAACCCAAACGTAATAATAAAGTAATAATAATAATAATAATAATAATGATAATAATGAACTGCTGATTGAGCTTGAGTAAACTGTATTTAGAAGATTGATGTTGATTTTCAGGTGAAATTGGAGGAATTAATCACCGCAGATCTTCTTCCTGCCGCTAGAGGGCACTGCAGGCAAACTACAGCACACTTCGAACAACATCTGGTGAAAACTTCAAATATTTGAGAGAACAACGTTACGCCTGTACTTCAAAAATGGGTGAGTCAGTAAATTATTATTTTTTCAATTGTTGTTTATCACAGACGAGTAGTGGGAATAGATGATATACTGTAGAATTATTTAAATTGTATTTAAAGCAAAACTTGGTTGGGTGTGAAGATATTTAATACAGTTTTTAAAACAAACAGCATTGAATGTTTTCCTCAGATTTTTTTAAATTATTAGAACAGGCTTTCATTCTCACATTTTTTTCAGTTCATTGAGAAAACCTTGCAGCATGCAGCTTCTGTCGTTAAGGTTCAGGTTTGGACACTTTTATATGAGCATTAAGTCTTAACACCTTATATACTCCCAGCTTTTCATATTGTCAAAGAAAACTTCTGTCACTCTGTCAGCTGCGGTCATGTTAAAAGTTCTGCAAGCATATTTTGTGCTAAGAAAAAATATACAAATACAAAATTAAATACCAAAAAACTTATATACAGCAGGAGGCGCTTCAGTACCACAAACTGCAACAAGCAGAAATGTCTCCTCAGAAGAAACGCAGATAGTGTGAACTGACTGAACCCTTTAGTAGTAGGGAGTAATATGAAGTACTCATGCGCCTATAAATTGTACTACATAATAAAAAAGAGTGATAATCCTGTTGTGCTGTAGCTTGGACCTGGATGCGTCAGGTGCAAAAACTTTGTAGTGCAGTTAGTCTCACCTGCTCTATCTATCCATCTATCCATCCATCTATCTATCTATCTATCTATCTATCTATCTATCTATCTATCTATCTATCTATCTATCTATCTATCTATCTATCTATCTATCTATCTATCTATCTATCTATCTATCTATCTATCTATCTATCTATCTATCTATCTATCTATCTATCTATCTATCTATCTATCTATCTATCTATCTATCTATCTATCTATCTATCTATCTATCTATC